CAAATTTCGACAACGACCAATGGGATCCAGACTCTCCTTCGCCGTCGCACCATTTCCACCGCCATCCTCTTGATGTCGAAGGCTCCAGTTCCCACAAACACTACCTCCACCGTAAAATGGAGGTCAACGATGTCGATGTTGACAGGGATTCACCCCAAATCGACTCAGTGACTCATACTCCAAATTCGAATGCGAATAATAACTTTGAGCAACACGAGATTGACGTGGGCCCAAAGGAATTCTCGTTCGATAGAAGAGTCGAGGGCTAATTTGATTTAATTAATTTTACTTTTTGGGATGAAATTGAATAGATGGGGTGAGGCTAATGATTGGAATCATTCTTTTTAAAATGATACAATTTTGACGCATTATTGTGTAAGTTATACGTCACTTGGGGTGAGGAGAGGAATGGTGAGGGGGTATTATCGTAAAAACGGAAGGAAAATGGTTGAGATTTGTAGAATAATTTATTGTTGGTTGATGTAAATGAATGGTACATTTTAATTTTAGTTTGTGGCCCATAATTAATAAATTGATTAATATATATATACTTTTAAATGTTGAATGTGAATTGGGTTTTTGACTTTGGAAATTTATATATATTTTATTTCATTACTTTTATTATAAAATAAAAATACACAAACCACTTTCCCAACGAATCTATTCATAATTCTAGTTCATTATTCTCGACCACTTGAATCTTCATCTTACCTATATATATGTAACGATTCAGGCCTACCGCTAGCACATATTGTCTTCTTTGAGCTTTCCATTTTAGGGTTTCCCTCAAGGCTTTAAAATGCAAAACGCATCGACTAGAAAAATGTTTCCACACCCTTATAAATGGTAGTTTGTTCTCCTCCCAACCAATGTGTGACATCACAATCCACCCCCTTCGGGGGCCAGCGTCCTTGCTAGCCTCTTTCCTTCCTCCAATCGATGTGGGACCGCCCCCAAATCCACCTCTAATGTGGGACATCATAGTCCACCCCCCTTCGAGGCTCAGCGTTCTCGCTGACACTCTTTCCTTTCTCCAATCGATGTGGGATCACCCCAAATCTACCTCCTTTTGGGGTCTAGCGTCTTTACTGGCACACTGCCTCGTGTCTACCCCCATTTGGGGAACAGCGAGAAGGTTGACACATCGTCTAGTGTCTAGCTCTGATACCATTTTTAACGACCCAGATCTACTGCTAGCAGATATTGTCTTCTTTAGGTTTTCCCTTTCGGGCTTCCCCTCAAGGCTTTAAAACGTGTCTACTAGAGGAAACATGTCTACTAGAGGAAGGTTTCCGCACCCTTATAAATGGTGGTTTGTTATTCTCCCAATCAATATAGGACATCACTATATATATAAAACAAGTGGCGAAAGGGATGATAAATTTGAAAATATAAATTTACGATAAGACTGTAAAATTTAATTAATCAATTTAAATTTTATTGTAATTTAGCAAAAATAATTGAGTAGTCACTTAAGGGATTTGGACCTATAATTATAATTAGCATTAATCATTTACTTTAATGTCAAACTCTAATAATTATTGTGGGGCCAGATTGGTAATTTTATAAGCTTAGTACATAAAAAATAATCAAAGCAAAAGGATGTAAGAAAATTTTAAATTAAACAAATTCGTTAATTTTATATTTATATTAAAAAAAGAATCGATATTATATTTCAGATATTTTCTCGAGAAAAACCAGGCGGGACCCACCAACGAAATCGCCTCCCCCCTTCGACCTTCATCTCTATCCAATTCGCCCATTCAATCATTACTCCATATTTCCAGAATGACGAAACCCTAACCCCAAATCTTCTCGTCGTCATCCACGAATTTCTCACCACTTTGTACAATTTCTTCCTCAGTCAAGATCAGATCCACGAATTTCTTCACCGGAGCAAGAAAAATGGAGATGGAGACGGCTGTGGGGGCGATTCTCGGCAGGCTAGGGCGCCACTGCTATGCGGTCTTGTGTTTAGGAGTGCTTCTTCTTACGGTTGCCATCGTTCACTACGTTGGCGACGGAGAACCGACCGATCCTCGCGAGCGAAGCAAGCGCCGTCTTCGCGCCTTGCACGGTGGCCGTGATCCGCCTCCGGTTTGGAATCGCGGTGTGTCGAAAACTGGAGCGCTCAGCGGCTAGGGCAGAATCCGATGCAATCGCTGCTTTTGTGATGATTTTGTAAAAGATTAATAAATAGTTAGCTCTCCGGCCTCATCTTTGTGACAAAATGTAAATTACTTGCTTTCTTCTTTCTAGATCTAAGCTTTTAATAACATTATTATATGTTTATTTCAGTTAAAAAATGAGTGTCAATTTACGAAAATAGCCCTGATGTAAGGGCAAGCCATTTGGGGGTCTTCTCTGTTTGTCTCTTTCCCCCCAAATCCACCTGATTCCGATCTTCTTCTCCGATTCTCAATCCCAATCCGCATCCTCCTCCACCTCCAGACAGCGTCGTTGCTCCTCGCGACTATGCGGCGGCGACGTCTGGCCTTCGCCGTCTCGGCTCCACTTCTGCTGCCGGCTCTACTGAACTCGTTGGCGGCGGATCAAGCGGCGGCGGCGGCAACATGTTGAGGTTCTACACCGATGTTGCTTCAGACTTGAAGATTTCTCCCACCGTCGTTGTGAATGTTTGATTAATCCACCACAGCTAAATGGTGTGAAAGTTATCTTATTTATAATCAAATGAATTACAAGAATATGGAAATATTAATAAATGGAAATAACAATAAATAGAAAGATACCTATGATAATAAGGCAAATATCTAATATTTGTCTTATAATAAAATATCAAATATAATATATATGGTAAACTATAATTTATTACTAAATATCCTTAACAGTCGTCCTCGTTTTGAGCCTCTGCTTCATCGGTTTCGTCACCGTTCTCCACGTCTTTGGTAAGCTCTATCGCGCGAGATCCGCGGCTGGAGTAATCCTCTGTTCATTTTGTATAACGTTCTTTGAAATGTTCTAGTTTCCACTCACCTGATGATATAACGCTTTGTTTTTACGATCGTTGTATCAAAAGAACCAGATCGTTCTTTAGCTGATATGAAGATGAACTGTTTCTCCTAGGTTTTATGATCAGATCATCTTTATTAGCAATTTTCTCGTCATTTCTGGTTTGTGTACGTTTTCTGATGGGTACTCACTCACACATTAGATTTCTTCCCTCGAACATGTTGTTGATATCGATTGAGTTGAATTTTTCGATCATTGAATCTATCCATAAACTCAGACTCTGCCAATCTTCGTAACCAAACTTTTAGATTTTGGAGCGATGATCAAGGAGGGACACATAGGAATGTCGACCACTAATTGACCAATTTCATACTCAATTTTTAAATAATTTGAAAATAATTTTATTTAGTTAACTTTTAATATAATTATAGAGATAAAAAAAATAACTTAAAAATTGAGAGACAACGCTTAGATATGTAACCCTAAATGGATGGAAGCTTATAAATTCTTATTTGTAATTAAGTTTTTTAAAACAAAATAAGTTGTTTATTATTATTATTTATTTTTTTTTAAAAAAAATTAGTTATTTAAAAATATGGTTACCCGCCATGGGCATTGGTTCTGTTGCATCTTCGAAACCGCTTTAAACGCCGGACGTCTGAGAGTGTGAGGGGGAGAGAAGAGGCTTTCGTGGTTGTCTAAAATGAAGAAGAAACAATACTCCAACCATTTCCATCTCCACATTTCTGCTTCATTCTTCCTCCTGCCCTTCTTCTTCATCTCCCTCGCCAATGCCAAGATCACCGTAATCGATCTCGTCTTCCGAGTAGATTCCGTTTGCCAGAGATACGAGAAGTGTGATGTTCAGAAACAGCGCGAGCTCAATGCTTATGGTGATGGTGTCTTTGCTCCCCTCTTCGCCGCCGTCGGACTCGAAATCCACGCCGCTCTTCAGGTTTTCTCGCTCGTTGCCTTGTTGTTGTTCTTCTTCAATAACTTATCCAATTTAATTTTAGAAATCGGAAGTCGCCTCAACTGAGAAGATTAGGGCTGCTGCAGTTGCGATGAATGCCGAGGTTTGATGGATGAAGTGCCGAAACTTTGTAAATTGGTTCGCAAGAAGGTGAAAATTTCCGTCTTCTTGTTTAATTGAAGATGGTGAGATAGAATTTGAAGTTAGGGCTTTCTCTGTTCTGGTTTCTTTTCTTAATCACCATGAATGTGATTGTTTATGATTATAGGTTAAAGGTGTTCCGAAAGAAGAGCTCGAGGTCGGAGATGATCTTGTTCTTGCGCTTCAAGAGAGGATTAAAGGGATACCAGAAAGGAGTACCTCAGCAGCCAAACAATCTGGAGGATGGGCGTCCTCGGCCTCATCTAACAATATCGAATTTGATTTATCAGGTTTTACGCACTTTAGATGGAAACTTCGAGGGCGAGTATTTCCATTAAAGTGAAGAATCAAGTCAATTTCGAAACGAGTATGAAATGAGGAAAATGAAACGGGCAGGTGGGTTTCTTTACCATTTTTATGCCATGGAAATTAGCTCTAAGCTCATTTTAGACTGCATTACTGAACACAAACTATTAAAGATAAATCGAATGTCATTGTACAAGTGAGTGAGAGCAAATCTAATCCTTTTAATGTAATTCCAATCTAATGGCTTATCAGTTTTGTTACGACAATGAGTTTGGGCTTCGAATGATCTGTGTGTCCATTTTTGCAGGACCAAGGTCTTGATATCATATCTGAAGGGTTGGATGTGCTTAAAAATCTGGCCCATGATATGAACGAGATGAGTGTTGAAGTATTTATATAATCAAATACCTTAACTCATTAGCTTAAGCAAACTTTTTAAGTAGTGAAATGACAAGATATACAAATGAGATGCTTAATTACCCTGTTTGGTTCTTGTAATTGATTTTATCCTTGTCCAGGAATTGAACAGCCAAGTTCCATTAATTGACGAGATCGATTCAAAGGTATAGTTATAGAAGTTTGTGTTAAGAATCTAAATCAAACCTAACAGTTTGTTTGGTCAAGATTGGCAGATGACAAGTTTCGTAGCTGGTTCTGCTTTTGACGTTTTTACAGGTAAATAAGGTGACTAATTAGATTAAAAATACCAATGTTAGGCTCAAGGAAACACTCTATGAGGTAACAGCAAGAATTGTCTTTAAAAAAAAAAAACAGCCTTTTTTACTGTGCTTCTGTATTTGAAGGTGAGATCCAGCCAAAACTTTCGCATCAATATCTTTCTTCTCTGTATAATTCTTGGAATCGCTTCTTACTTGTACAAGTGAGTTCTCTTTTTCCATCTTTCTCTAAAAATGTGTTGAGAAGAGAGAACTTTCCCAGAAGATTTTGAAGAAAAAACATGCGATTCTCTGCTAACACATGTCATGTTTGTGCAGTATATGAAGCTGAGTTGGATTAAGAGCTTATTGTTCAAGTGGTTGAACTATGGGATAGCCCCGAGTTGCGAGGTAAATTTGGAAGAGCATTCATTGACTTCAATACTGCACTTCAATCATCTTCTTAGCTTTCTGTAGAATTTCTTCATTTCATTTCTGGATTTACTATCAAATATCTCCCGTTTCCATTGAGCTTTATTAACTTAGTGTAATTGGAAGAAGTCAAATATAAAGAGAGAAGTATTTTTTGCCCTTATTTTCTGCTTTTGAGCAAATAGATTTGTTGGATTTGCTCGGGAAGAAAAAAGATCCCCGTGTAAGAAGTAATAGTTTAATTATGTTAGATCTAAGATGTCGTTAATAAACTTACAGAACTGTACGGAGGGAAAATGAATGTTCTAACTTCCATGTATTCCCATTGACATGACAAAAAAAAAGATACCTAAACCTAACACATCCACAGACCAAGATGAAGTGTTAGATTAAGCTATCAAAAAGCCTAGTCTTTTCCTGATTCTGCCATGCTTCTTTCCTTCAATGCATCTTCAAATTTTAATTTCTCTGGGACAAAATCTGGAGATGAGAAAAACACGTCTTAAACCGCGTTTGACAGTTCAAGAATCTTTCTAATAGTAGCAGTAGTTGAGCCTTAAGTAATAGGCATGGGTATGTACGTACCTGAAAGAAAGTCGTATCTCTTCCTTTTGCAAACTACTGATGCTGCAACAACAAAGGAGAATCTTACTACTACTTCAATAAAAATCTCACATAACCCAATGCCTCCTCTTTTCCTTTATTCGGGATAGAAGAAAATGCCTCCTTTTTTCCTTTCTACCTCCACATTTTCCACCATCAAAATGTGGTCATAAAGAAAAGAAGTATCTTCAGAATTCTCACAAGTGAAATTATTAGCAATAGTAGATATATGAAGCAATAAGTAAAACAAAAGGCTTATCAAAATTTCGTCCCCTAGACAGATGATATACACTTGAACTCAGTTTCTAGGAATAGATAACAGAACAAAACAAAGGGAAGAGATCCAGGAGTCTTCCTGTTCTCTCCTCATCCAAATTGAAATTTCATACTAGACTGACAATCCCTCCCCCTTTATATGTACTTGAATTTTCTCCCTTTCTGTTCCCTTGACCACCTATCTTACCGTTGTCCAAAAGGAGTGCTGATATCAATTACTGTGAGATCACACATCAGTTGGAGAGGAGAACATAACATTTTTTATAAGGGTGTGGAAACCTCTCCTTAGCAGATGCGTTTTAAAACCTTGAGAAGATGCCTGAAAAGGAAAGGCTAAAGAGGACAATATCTACTAGTGATGAATTTGGGGGGTTACAAATGGTATCAGAGCCAGACACCGGGCGATGTGCAAGCGAGGAGGCTTAGCCCCAAAGGAGGTGGACATGAGGCAATGTGTCAGCAAGGACGTTGGGTCTCAAAAGGGGTGAATTGGGGGGTCCCACATCGATTGGAGAAGAGAACGTGAAGTGGGGTGGATTGTGAAATCCTACATCGGTTGGGAGGAGAACAAAGTCATTCTTTATAAGGGTGTGTAAACCTCTCTCTAACAGACACATTTTAAAACCTTGAAGGAAAGCTTGAAAGGAAAAGCCTAAAGAGAATAATATCTACTAGCTGTGGACTTGAGCTATTACAGTTACAACCCCTCCCCAACCAACTTAAGCCCTTCCCAAGTATCAGATTCAACAACTTTCCTTCCACTGGCTTTTATTCTTCCTCCTCATATATGTGAACTCATTGGGGATCTAGCTCTTTGAAAGCATAAAACAATGCACTGATGATACAAATCAGTAATTCTCCACAACGCAATAGTTTGACAGATAGAGGCTCATATAATTCAAGTCCCTTAACAACCATGTAATCGGAGTAACCTAAATCTAAGGTCATAATCCATGTTAAACTGGGACAGTGATCATGATATCTTCCTTGTCACTACTAAATAGCTGGGAATATGATAGTGCAGTTGAAGTACACAATGATATAATTCACAGGTCTAACTTTCTTTTTAGATCAGAACCAGACAAGAAGGGTAAATGAAAATGAAAATTGAGCATGATATCAGGATAGAGAATAGGAACATTACATAGATGCTTGTAAGCAAGAGACTTCTTGCGATCCTGAGCACAGCACGCATACGCATCCTTGCAAAATTGCACAAGAAACATCTCCTGCAACCAATTAAGAAGCTTACAGACCCACCAAAAAAAAAATCACCTTTAGAAACAAACAATGCCCATCCATCTTCCACCAACGAGAAAAGACCTAATTTTGAGCAATGCGTGTGGGGTGTTGAGGGCTTACCGTTGCTTTGTTGACGAGAAACAAAGCTTCCTGATTTATACGCAAATCAGAATTCTCATCCCTCATGATTTTCTTGATCCGATTCATAGGGAATTTATAAATCTTCTCCTCAGCTTCTTCTTCTGCTTCTTCTTCTTCTTCTTCTTCTTCTTCTGCATAACCATTCTCTTCTTTCTTTCCATGGTTCCGTTTAACTTTCTTCGATTTGGAGGTGTTGGGCGATTTACTCGTGGTTTCCACTCTGTCTTCTTCGGCATCGCCTGGAGCAGAAATGGGTAACACTTCGTTCTCCTTCACAGAGCCATTGCTAGTGTGCTTGTTGTTGTTGCTGCTAACCTTCTTCTTCTTTGAATAAACCTTGTCCACTTTTCTGGCGTTGTTGTTGTTGTTGTTGTTGTTGTTGTGGGTCTTGTTCTTGGGGGCTGGTTTTGAAGTTCCTGCTTCTTTGCTCTTGGCTTCACTACTGGATTTTTTGGACGAAGCCATTGTTAAAGATCGGTGTTTGAGAATTTGGGGGAACTACGGGTCCTTTTTCACCACGAACCTATGCACTGGCAAGTCATCGTCCTTAGATGAGGGGGGATTTTAATGTCCTTCTGCCCATATTTTTTATTTTATAATCTTTTTATCATAACATTTTAACTAATTTAACTATATTTAGATTCAAATTGTTTCATTATTTTCTTTTTCTTTTGATTGATTACTTATATTTTTATAATATATCAAAAATATATATATATAGATAGTTCAAATAGTTAAAATACCACCCATTCAACAAAACAATTAAAATTCGAATTTACCACATATTGATTAATTATTCTCGAAGTAATCTCGCAAGTGCTGGTAGCAGAAAGGATATTAAAATCATTTTCTCTAAATAAAAAATAAAATCATTATCATGTTCCTGCTCGTTTAGTTATGAGAGAAGGAATTTTGAAGTACTAAAACACAAAACTCCATGTAACATGACATAAGGAACATCAAACGTGTCATAAACAAATTAATACAACAGAAGAATCCTGTAACATAACGTAAGGAACATAAAACATGGTCCAAATTGTAAAATAGATAACTTAAACCTAGAATGAAACTTGAAAATGTAAGTGTGGGTTGAGGAGGAAGGAGGGATTCATTTGGTTTAAGCTAAAGAAAAATCGGAAGGTCGATCTTTGATTTCTCGAATCTCGAATCGTTATCTACTATGTCTGCTGCTGTACTAGCTGAGGATTCTTCAACATCGCCAGCCATCTTCAGGAAGTAACTGTGCCTGCATAGTCCATTGTCGTAACTCACTTGAGATGATCATCATAATATGCTGTGTGGTATTTCAAGTTAGAACTACACTATACCATCTGTTATCTGATGTTAATTCAGGATGGAAGGCTGTTGCGAGTAAGTTCCCTTGCCTCACTGCTACAATCACTTTACTTTCTGAACTTTTTTCCTGCGATATTCATTAAACCATAATGTGAAGGGGTGAGAAAGTTTGAAACAATTGGAATTTTTTTTTCTTTTGGAGATTGGATGAACGTTATTAATTCATGATCTAGTATATACAGAATGAAAATTTCATTCTCGATTCTACAAGAATTTTTATCAAAGACTTTCATTTGCTTCTCTTCAATGGAAGCTTTATTTTTTTCTTAGAATGCGTCCTAATTTTTTGCCTAATTCTTCTTCTGATCCATTTGGAACACGACGAGCACACTCCGTGTGACAGTGAAATTATAATTCTACTGAACTATGACTCAAAACCGTCATATGTACCGTCTGAAACTTGTGACTCATATATACAGATTACAATCATTTAGGTGTTCAAATTAGAGGCACTGGCAGTGTAGAGATGATACAACAAACCTCTTTGCCTTCACCAGAGGAATCTGAATCCAAGGAAGAGTTTGAAGAGACAGGGCAGTGAGCCAGCACTTGGACGTCTGGTCCCACTTCAAGAATTGCAGGAGCTCGGATGAAAACTCCACGAAATGTTTCCGGACCACCTTCAGTAGACACTAGCTCTGGTATCGACAGCTCTGCCTCAAAGCTTTGAAGCTACATAATAATGATCTCTTCTTAAATTAGGAAAATCTGAACTCAAGAAATGGACAGTGAATATTAAGCGAACTTCAACAATAAGCTGATAACATGTATCCGGGAAAAAAACAGAACATTTGGAATCAACATCAAAGAACTTCTTTCAATAAATGTGTTTGGATCAGCTTGTGTACAAACAAAACCATCAAGGATTCTGGATTCTGAACTCCATGCTTCAATGAAGATCTCATATTTTGTGTGAGATGGAGGATTTGTATGTCTGGTAAATTTTCATAAGTTTTGATTAGATTTGATTATTTAGATTAGATTTGATTGGTTATTTGGATTAGATTTGATTTGGTTATTTGAATTAGATTTAATCAGATTTAGTATATCGGAGATTTGATTCTGTAATACTATATAATAGCTAATAGCTAATGAAGGAGAGATTTCTCCCTCCATTCCTAACTAGGGATATCAGGATTTGGGAGAGTTTTGGGTGTCACATGTATTTGTTGAGTGATACATTGTATTTGTTGAGTGACACATTGGTGAAAGTCTTTGTAGTGTGATAGTGAGGTTCACTTGTAACACTTTGTTTATTAGTGATTGGTTGCTACCCGTGGATGTAGGGGAACTTCTTCTCTCCGAACCACGTAAATATCTTGGTGTCTTTTTTGTGTAGTTTCGTTCATTGGTGTTGTGAGTACATTTGTTCCGCTTTCAACGCACAACAGTTTGAACATTTATATTGGGGAAAGTCGTTATCTGAGCCAGTAAACTGGTAGATTTTAAAATAACTTAGTGAGGATTGTTAAGAGGGATCACTTTGACTAATTAAGGAGTTGATCATGAGTTTATAAGTAAGGAATACATCTCCATTGTTG